AACAACATAAAGCAGTCTCTTTTAATTAACTCTGCAGGGTCAGGGGGACCCAGGCTGTTTGCTTCATTAAACCCTGATGGCGCCTTTGGAGCAATTCCCTCTAAACTGCACTGTCACAATTGTATCTAAATTAGCATCCGAGCTTGACCCTCTTTTCACTTCTCCCAAATCCTCAGCTGACAGGGATTGGCAGTAGATGCTAATTGGCGAGGCTTGGCTAGGAACAATGGAGTTGCCAAGATAACAAAAGGACTAATGTTTCTTTCAATATGCATCCAGATTCACATAAGTACCTCTTTTAATTACCAGGAATTATTGTAATGCCCAGTCAATGGAATAATTGACCCTCAACAGCAAGGGCTTATTATGTAATAAGTAATGGCGCAGGCCTTGTCAGAGTAGCAGGTACCAGAAGTTGATTTCGCTAGGCTGAAAAGAGCTTTTCTCAGCTAGGCTCCTGTGATGTACCAAGGCTTCCCAGTAGGAGTCCAGCAGAAGGGGACTAATTTGAGTTTAACGGAGAGGAAATGCGCTGAAAGCGGTTTTGGGCTTATCCATAGGATGACAAAAGAGGGGGAAAGGATTGGGTTGGTAGCTTGGCAGCTTACATAAGAGAACGCTAATCACTCTTGCAGCAGCCAGTTGCATAGACTCCTATTCACTTAACTGTATGGGCATTTTCCCTCCAGGTTTTGATAAAGGTCTTTATATTGCATTGGATAATTGCAATAAAAACTTCTGCAAACTTAAAAACCCCCAGACATCATCATCATCACAGTGTAATCATCTTCATATTGCTACAGAATAATAATCATCATCAATAATACCGCATTACAGTAGCAGCAATATATGTTACAGTCTTAGCATTCTTTCTCACAATGTTTAACTCTGTTCCAATAACACTTTTAAAGGTTTGCCATTCCTATAAGAAGTAATGGGATGCCATGGCTGAGAGGTGGAGCTCCTGTTCAGAATGCTCCAGGTTCATTCCCAGGCCTTTCTAGGTAGGGCAGGAGAAAGAACCCCCCCGAGTCCCCAGAGAGCCACAGTCACTTAAATGTAGACCAGCCTTCCCCAACCTGGTGCCCTCCAGATGTTTTGGGTTACAACTCCTGCCATTCACTACACTGGCTGTTGCAGTCGGAAACTGTGAAGTCCAGTACATCTAGAGGGCACCAAGGTAAGAAAAACAAAACTGAGCTTGATGGGGCAGTGGCCACACTCAGGATAAGGCAATTTGCCAGGTTCATCCTAACGTCCCATAACAACTAAAATAAATAAGCTGATCTACTACTGGAACCAAAAGGTATTCTGTGCTAATGTTCTATTGTTTTATTGAATTATTTGGCTTTTCCCATTTTGGGCAAGTAGCATCTTTGCCACTATTAGTAAAGGTTTAGCTACCAACATTTTCTTCCCCCCTAAAGGCCTTCCATTCTGGAATTGAAACACAGTTCTGTGGTGCAATTTTCTATCAGTCCCCTTAACAAATCCTCGGAGTTACAGTAAACGGCTTAGAAATACTGAATCATTAACCCACTTCTTCAAGGGTTATACAGTTCTGCTGCACACTTATTTGGTAGTGAGCCCCATTAAATACAGTAATACTTGTGCATATGCTGCACATTAAATATTATTTTAAGTTCCCTGTGTGCATAGTTGTTTTTTTAAATAAAAGCTAAGGTGCAAGACCTATCTGCTGCTCACATTTGCAGCAGTGCTCTACTTCAGGTTAATTATTCTCAGCCGACTTTTCCTCAAAATGCAAAACCTGGACTTTTTTTAAATATTCACTGATTGAAAATGCATAGTGGACAATTGGGAAAGCTAATTCCCCAATTCAAGCAAAGCTCCAGAGAGAGCCACTATTAGCAGATATATATGGAAAGCGTATACAGGCATGGGAAATCCCTTCCTCCTCGCTGCAGTTTGATCATGCAAACAGGCATGCCGTGTGTCCCCTTGGGAAATGGTGCTTGCAGCCTCATTTATAACAAAGATCTAATCTCGGCAGGCCAGGATATTACAGGTTTCTGCTGAAGTGCATTGAGCCAGCTGTTGGGGGAAGCTGGCAGAACACAAGCCAAAATTGTTCTTGGATCTCCAAGCAGGTCTTATGAAGTCTTCACTTTAATGTTCACTAAGGTCAGGCCTGCAGAAAAGAACTGCCTAGCTTTAAAAAACAACACAACTGGGGATAGGTTATTACAAATAACATTCAGCTCTGCTTTTGCCAGTGTATTGTTGTTGTTGTTGTTTAGTCATTTAGTCGTGTCCAACTCTTCATGACCCCATGGACCAGAGCACGCCAGGCACTCCTGTCTTCCACTGCCTCCCGCAGTTTGGTCAAACTCATGCTGGTAGCTTCGAGAACACTGTCCAACCATCTTGTCCTCTGTCGTCCCCTTCTCCTTGTGCCCTCCATCTTTCCCAACATCAGGGTCTTTTCCAGGAGTCTTCTCTTCTCATGAGGTGGCCAAAGTATTGGAGCCTCAGCTTCAGGATCTGTCCTTCCAGTGAGCACTCAGGGCTGATTTCCTTAAGAATGGAGAGGTTTGATCTTCTTGCAGTCCATGGCACTCTCAAGAGTCTCCTCCAGCACCATAATTCAAAAGCATCAATTCTTCGGCGATCAGCCTTCTTTATGGTCCAGCTCTCACTTCCATACATCACTACTGGGAAAACCATAGCTTTAACTATACGGACCTTTGTCGGCAAGGTGATGTCTCTTCTTTTTAAGATGCTGTCTAGGTTTGTCATTGCTTTTCTCCCAAGAAGCAGGCGTCTTTTAATTTCATGGCTGCTGTCACCATCTGCAGTGATCATGGAGCCCTATAAAGTAAAATCTCTCACTGCCTCCATTTCTTCCCCTTCTGTTTGCCAGGAGGTGATGGGACCAGTGGCCATGATCTTAGTTTTTTTGATGTTGAGCTTCAGGCCATATTTTACACTCTCCTCTTTCACCCTCATTAAAAGGTTCTTTAATTCCTCCTCACTTTCTGCCATCAAGGTCATCTGCATATCTGAGGTTGTTGATATTTCTTCCGGCAATCTTAATTCCATCTAGGGACAAAACTGAGATGGAGCTCTGGTATCAAATTCTCTTACTCTTAATTTCTTTCTTAGCCTGGGGTGGAAAACTTCTGGATATGAGACTCTTCATCTGAGGGCCGTGAATACGATCCCCATGTTGGGCATTGCAGGGGGTTGGACTAGATGATCCTTGTGGTCCCTTCCAACTCTGCAGTTCTGTGATTCAATGGCCCTCCTGGCCTCTCTGTTTGGCCTTTGGACCTTTCCTCAGCTACACTGCTCACTTTCCCTGCTTTGAACACTGAGTGTTTGTTCCTGGCTGGAATGTGTCCTGAATCCTGATAATGCCTCTTGCTTGAGGACGGGGGATAGAGAGGTGGTACTAGAAAACAGTCATGCTGGCCACATGACCCGGAAGCTGTACGCCGGCTCCCTCGGCCAACAAAGCAAGATGAGCAACCCCAGAGTCAGCCACGACTGGACCTAATGGTCAGGGGTCCCTTTACCTTTTTGCTAGAAAACAGAGTGCTGTGCAAAGGTAGAATGGGCATTTGTTGCTCCACCCACTTTTTCCTCTGGCCCTGCCCTGACCACCATTGCCATGTGGCCCTTGGAAGGTTGCCCAGAAATGAATGTGGCCCTCAAACCCTAAAGTGTCCCCAGCCCTACTCTAAGCACACTTACTAGCATGCATGGGCCACTCTCACATTATGATTCCTACAGGAAACCGATGCAGTGAGAATGTTACACCTCTATATAGTCCTAGCCTAGGGCGTAATGACAAGTCGGCTAAAACACTGGGGCTGTTGTATTACCAGCCAGCCAGCCAGCTCTTTCTCTCCAAATGATGTGCAGGCTCCATTGTCGTCTTTGCTTATTGTTTTTGTTCAGGCACAAAACTGCCCTTGTCATCTCTGCTTTTTTTAAGCAGTCGGTAGGACATTTGACCCACCCATGCACCCAAACACACACATTTTAAGAACACTTTTTCTCCTTCCCAGGCTCTTTAACAACAACTGCAATGAGACATCCGCTGAGAGATTTAAGGAAGCCAGAGAAATATGTCAGTCAAATGATGATGATAAGCACGGTATTAATGGAGAGAAAACGTTATAGATTAATTACACATAATTCATACTAAGCCCCTTCCGTTTTAAATTGGCTCTAGATTCAGTTCCTCAAATCTGTTCCCAGGTGACACACGCCCTCCCCGCTCTGAAAAGTAGTCTGAATTTTGTCAGTTTTGTAGGAGGGGAGAGGAGACAGAAGAAACAGGGATGGCGTCCAGTCAGTCTTGGGGGATGAGTTCTGCCTGACTAGGTCAGCCAATTTCTTTAAAGTCTTAATCACTTCCCTTCAAAGAAGACATTCATGTGGAGAAAACTTTCACTAGGCCAGGCCCCACCATGTTGGACTTTTAGACTTCATGCACATTGTACATTTAAAGAGCACCCCACCCCCAAAAAACTTGAGAATTATAGTTTACCCCCACAAAACTTTAACTCCCTGACCCTTCGCAAACTACAGTTCCCAGGAGTTGGTGTGGGTGTGATTTAAATATATGATGTGCATATAGTGGTACCTCGGGTTAAGAACTTAATTCGTTCTGGAGGTCTGTTCTTAACCTGAAGGTGTTCTTAACCTGAAGCACCACTTTAGCTAATGGGGCCTCCTGCTGCTGCCGCGCCACCACCGCACAATTTCTGTTCTCATCCTGAAGCAAAGTTCTTAACCCGAGGTAATATTTCTGGGTTAGCGTATGTAACCTGAAGCGTATGTAACCCGAGGTACCACTGTACAGCCATATCCGCATGATTGCTAGTTCCATTATTTTCTTACCTCTGAATCACATATTTAAGAGGTGACCAGATCACAGCAACACATATGAACAATTTACAGGTAGGTAGTCGTGTTGGTCTGCTGTCGTCGAAACAAAATAAAAAAATTAAAATTAAATTAAAAAATTACTTCCAGTAGCACCTTAGAGATGACCTAAGTTAGTTAGCACGAAAGCTCATACCAATCACTAACTTAGTTGGTCTCTAAGGTGCTACTGGAAGGAATTTATTTATTATTTTATTTATTTGGGTTTTTTTCGGCATATGAGCAATGCGACCTTTGCTTTTTGACCTGCTACCAAATTTGCTTCCAGCCTTATCGGAAGGGCCTTGGACGGGGTGGGTGAATCATAGAATCACAGAATTGTAGGGTTTGAAGGGACCCAGAGGGTCATTTGGTCCAACCGCCTTCAATGCAGGAACTTACAGGTGACTCATATGGGGATCGAACCCATGACCTTAGAGTCATCAGCATCATGCTCTAACCATCTGAGCTAACTATACTCTCAATATCCTAGGGTTGGAGATTTAGCTGCTTTATAAAATGAATGAATGGATGGATTTCTATACCACCCTTCAATAGGCATTTCTGGGGCTTCATGTAAAGTGCTGCAGATGCAACTCCAACATTAACATTACTCTCATGGAAGCGTTTTGCTTGCTGCTGGGAGGAGATCCTCAGAATTCAATCTCTCAGCTTCAACAGCTCCCCGTAAAACACTAAACTAAACCTAGCATCACAGCAAAACGGGGACATCTGTTAAGCTTGGCTTAGACAATAGATGTGAATCCCAGCTATATGATGGATCCTTGGCCTGCTGAGCAAAGCAGCAGAAGGGTATTTAGTAACCTCTGATAAGGGATTAACCCTTTTGTTCGAACACATGCACAATGCTTTGATAAAACACTCCCCCTCCTTTCAAGGCTGGCAGAACTGGAGGACTGCTGCCCTTTGATTTTATTTAGTTGGCTCCATGTGGAGCGACTTCTCCCTTTCTGTGCCAATCAATGTACAGACCCTTTAAGGCAACAGGGCAGCAGGCTGCTGAAATAGTTCCATGCACGAGACGCTCACATTCTTCCACCCAGCACCATCTCTAGCAGAGCCCATGCAGATGGCCATCTGTCCCAGGTTGAGAGGGCTTGTGCCAGAGAGGTTTGGTTGCCAGAATGGGCTCACTGAAATGTCCATATCTAACAAGATAGCTCAGCCAGTATAGCATGGGTCTTAGGGTTGTGGGTTTGAGGGCCAGGTTGGGCAAAAAGATTCCTGCATTGCAGGGGGTTGGACTAGATGATCGCCATGGGCATTTCCAACTCTACAATTCTATGTTTCTATTATCAATTTTCCACCACGTAATATCCTATATACCAGGGGAAGGAGGGTTTTGGCCTTCCAGGTGTTGTTGGACTACCACTCCCACCAGCCCCAGCAATCATGTCCAATGGCATGTAGTAGAGTTGTAGTTCAGCAACATCTGGAGGAGCCAAAGGTTCCTTACACCTGCTATATACTGCTTGTTGTTTTTTTGCGGGGCAGGGGGGTAGGCTGTATCCCTGGGTCCCTTCTAATTCCTGGATCCAGCACGGATTCAAATCCTGGAGTAGCCAGGGTAGCTTCCAGGTGACATAATGGTCCTCTAAGTAAGAAACAAACAAAGTGGCTCTGTGCCAGACGGCAAATTGGTGGGATGCCCTCCCTCAACTCGCTGGTAGTTAGAAAGAGCCATGCCTGATTTCTGCTGGAATCCAAGGCTGTGGCTATGGGAGAAACAAGACCCTCTTGGGATGTTAAACCATATATGCTAAAGACACCACAGTCTCCGTTGTCCCTCATTCTGCAGAAACTGAACCCTGGGTAGGCATCTGTAACCCCTGGAGTCTCACGCCGCTTGGAGATTGGGGTGGCATGCAACAATGCTATCATTTGAGTAGCCAACACAGCACCATTCAAGAGGAAGGTATCGGCCAACTTGGGGGAACTCTAAGCTGTGCTGGTGCCTTTGTTGTTTTTGGGGGGGAATAAACCAAAAGCAACATAATGAGGATTAAGCATGCTCAGTGGCCACAGAATAATGGCCAACTGTAGGAAGGAGGGAGAAAGCAGGAAATGACGGGGAGGGAATGGAGTATCCTGAAAACAGGCACGACTGGCTGATTGGAACCCTGAGCAGGAGCACTCAGCATGGCAACATTTTGCTCCAGCTCCCGTTTCCTTGCATGCTTCCTTCCCGTCTCCTCCTCCCTTCCCCATTCCATTGGTTCTTCTTCTATTTAGCTGACTTTAGGGGCATCCAGATCTCTGAAACAGATGGGCAAGTCCCTTCTTCTCTGGTAGTTTTCTTTCCCTGCTCTTTGCAGGTGTACAGTTTGCAGGAGAATAATTTTTGTCATGCCTGTAAAATGAAGTAACAGGCTGGAGTGCTTTTCTCATCAGCCATTGATCTGCTGGCTGGGAGAAGGCTGCATCCCACCAGCTGAAAGGACAGGCTGCAGCCTCTCCATCCCCAACCAATGGATCTGCCTCAGCCTCTCATTGGGAGCAAATCTCCTGGCTTCTGCTGTAAAGCATTATTACAGTTTTGTTCTTAAAAAAGAAAGAAGGCGATTTCCCTTGGATTTTATTAATAACTTAATAGCGAATAGCTTAATAACTAATGCAATAATCCTTTAGGCCACAGTTTCTCTGAAAGTATGTTGTAGTAAGCTGAACAAAAGTTTGCTTAAAGAAGAAGTTTTGAGCACACCATCCACCAAATATAGATGAGTTCAAAACACGTAGGAGCTGAACTATGCACTGATTTACAGTGGGACCTTGGTTTTCAAGTGTCTTGGAAGCCAAACGATTCAGAATCCAAACTCCGAAAACCCAGAAATAATTACTTCCATTTTCAAACACACCTCAGAAGTTGAACGGCTTCTGAGGCGCATTTCTCCATTTATTCAATGGATTTTTCCATCCACCCATTGATCCTCGGTTTTAGAACATTTAGGAAGTCGAACGGTCTTCCAGAATGGATTACGTTCGAAAACCAAGGTTCCACTGTATATTATAAGGGAGCTTTCCCCCCCAATGCAAATAGCAAGCCTTTGGCTTATTGACATCCAATGCCCTTATAAATGTGGGAGAGAGGATTATTGGTTTGTTGTTGTTCTTATTTTTACTTTGTATTTCATGGTTTTTATATTGTGATTTTATGTTGCAAACTGCCCTGAGATCTGTAGATGAAAGGTGGTATACAAATATTATTATTATTGAATTGGAGAATTCAAGGGCAGTTAATTTCAGGAGTCCAGGGCCGTGAGAGTTGCCTGTAATTATGTATGTGTGTGTGTAAATAACGTTGGAAAATAATTATATCTGCTTGGTAAAACGGTGAGCCATTAGGGTTGCCAACTGGGCAGGGAACACTGGCCTGGCTTGTGTCTTGGTTTACGTAGGGCCACATGATGCCCTCTGGATCAGAGGTGAGAATCCTGTTGTTTCTTTACTCCAGCTCCCATCAGTACCAGCCGGCAGGGCCAATGGTCAGGGCATGATTTGAGTTGCTATACAGCAATATCTGGAGTGCCACAGTGTTCCCATTCATGGTCCATAAAGTCACACCAGGGGGCGTTTAAAAGGTCTCAAAGGTTGTCACCATTTATGGGCCATCAACTTTAATAGCAGTCCAATAAAGTTCATAAGATGAAGCTTTATTCTACCTGGCTAAATATCTATGAGTCGTATTGCAGCTATAGGCACAGGAGTAGTACTGACGCGGGGGGGGGACGACTTTAATATTTGAACAACAGGAGATGTGTTATTAAATGTAGTCTTTCTGTTTCTCCACTGCCCCTTCAGCAGTGTGTGTGTGTGTGTGTGCGTGTTTATGTACACAAGAGAAATATGAACTGGAAGTGAAGTTAAGCTGTCCACAGAATCTATTTAATTTGCTTAGCTGATCTAGAAGGCAAGCCGTGCCTATGAAGGAGTTGAGTGCCAGAAGCTGGCTCCTTCTGCTCTTTGATTGATTAAGTGATGTACCTCCAAGCATTAGAAATATGTGCTATATTTATAGTGTGGAAAATATTTATTTCATAGCTTATTTGAGCAGATGTGAGCAAGTGTGAGACGTATGTTAATATATGGAAACACATAACTTTTTTTAAAGTCAGATGTTTCCACAGTTTGTAACATCACCAAGCAGAGATTAAATTTCCACTTGAAGCTGGCTGAGCAAGTGCTCTTTGCTTCAACATCCTTTGCAGAGCCATATAAACAGCTGAGGCTATGATAAGGAGAAGGCATGGCACAGAATTTCCCTTCCAACCTGCCCTCCGCCACCTGATAAATTACAGATGAGACACACACAATCAGCATCTGCAGACCTCTTACCCTGGAGTTATTCCATAACAGACAATTGAAGGAATCCGAAGAGTCACTGGGTCAAAGATTTGTATACCCAATAAAAATGATGCTCTGGTCATAGTACAGTGACGGGAATTTCTCAGTAGCTCAGGCAGGCTTCTCATCAGATCCATTATACTTGACCCGTAGCCTTGCTCCAGCCTGGACAGCCATGGTTGAGCTGCTGCATTGTGACCTGGGAGACCAGGGTCCGATTCCCCATTCAGTCGTGAAGCACACTGGGTGACTTTGAGCCAGTCCCAGCTTCCAGCCAAAACAACTTCAGAGGGTTGCTGTGAGGATAATATGAAGGGGCAGGGAGCCATGTACACCATCTCAAGCTCTTTGTAGGAAAGATGGGATATAAATAAAGGTAAAGGGACCCCTGACCATTAGGTCCAGTCGTGGCCGACTCTGGGGTTGCGGTGCTCATCTCGCTTTATTGGCCGAGGGAGCCAGTGTACAGCTTCTGGGTCATGTGGCCAGCATGACTAAGCCGCTTCTGGCAAACCAGAGCAGTGCACGGAAACACCGTTTACCTTCCCGCCGGAGCGGTACCTATTTATCTACTTGCACTTTGACGTGCTTTCGAACTGCTAGGTTGGCAGGAGCAGGGACCGAGCAACGGGAGCTCACCCCGTCACAGGGATTCGAACCGCTTACCTTCTGATCGGCAAGTCCTAGGCTCTGTGGTTTAACCCCCAGAGAAGGAATGGTCAGTTGCATAGCCAAGGTCAAGGGCCATTGTGGTTGGGCATATGTCGAGGGTCCACAGTCTAGCCGGGGCACCACTGACAAGAGCCCCCCGGACCTGCTCATCCTATTCACAATCTCAAACTTGCTTCATCACCTGCCTCTCACCTCAGTCCAGGCGACAACGGTGGTGAGAAGGAGGAGCAGTAAATGCCACCTGCTTTGTCATTGACTCTTTGCCCAGAAAGTACCAGTGATGAAGCAACAGTTGGTGATAACAGCAGTGAGAAACTAGACTCACTTGGGGGGGGGGCATGGACCCTGGAGCTGGCACTGCACATTTTCTGCAACATCTAGTATAGCACAAATGTTTGCGTTGACTTGTTCTTGCAATAGGTTCAGGCAGCGGCAGCCAG